TATGTACCTGACTTGAAGAGAAATTTGATTTCTCTTGGTGAATTCGATAGGAAGGGATATGTTTTTCAAGGAGAGAAAAGTATCCTTAGAGTCATTAAGGGGTCGAAGGAAGTCTTGAGAGGCGTGAAGAAATAAGGCTTGTATACCCTTGATGCTGAGGTTATAAGTGGTTCGACAAGTGTTGCATCCAGGAAACCTATGTCGAAGACAGAATTATGGCACATGAGATTGGGGTAGGTCAGGGAAAGAGGTCTGGTCGAATTGGGGAAGCAGAACCTGCTAGGAGGTGACAAAGTCGAAATGTTGGAGTTTTGTTAATCTTATGTATTTGGTAAATCCTATACGACGAAGTTTAACAAAGGCAAGCAAAGAACACATGGATCTCTGGATTACATTCATGCTGATCTTTGGGGGCCTGCAAGGAATCCTTCACACTTAGGTGCAAGGTATTTTCTACCTATCGTTGATGACTATTCCAGAAAGCTATGGGTATTCATTCAGAAGATGAAGGATGAAACTTTTGAGAATTTCAAAAGTTGGAAGATTCTGGTCGAAACTCAAACTGGCAGAAAGGTTAAGAGGTTGAAAACCGACAATGGCCTTGAATTCTACAACAAAGCGTTCGACAATTACTGTCTTAAGTCTGGGATTGCAAGGCATAAGACTGTAGCAGGTACTCCTTAACAAAATGGCTTAGCTGAGAGATTCAATCGAACAATCCTTGAACGGGTTAGATGCATATTGGTTAGTGCTGGATTAAAGAATGTGTTTTGGGCAGAAGCCATTTCGGCAGCAGCTTACCTGATAAATAGATGTCCCTCGACTGCCTTGGGAATGAAGACACCTGAAGAAATTTGGTCGGAACATCCACCTAGTCTTGGCAGACTAGGAGTATTTAGTTGTGTGGCCTATGCTCATATTAGGCAAGACAAGGTCGAACCTAGAGCTCTAAAATGCATGTTCTCGGGATACTCTGAAGGAGTCAAAGCTTATAGGCTATGGTGCTTAGAGCCAGGTCACAGGAGGTGTGTCATTAGTCGAGATATAGTTTTCAATGAAGCAGAGATGGCTTTCAAGAAAAATGATGATGTTGGCGAAGAGATGGAACAGAGAGATTCCCGTTGAGGTGAAGCATATTAATGCTGCTGAATTGTGTACCCCAGATGAAGTCGAAGAAGAAGCAAAAGCTGCTACCGAAGATGAGGAGACTGATAATGACTACCTGCTAGCAAGAGACATGTTAAGGAGAGTCATCAAGCCATCTCAGAGACTTGGGTATGCAGATCTTATAGCTTATGCCTTAATCTCTGCAAGTGAGATTCTAGACGAAGAACCTAGAGACTATAATTAAGTTATGAGGATTCGAAAGAAGACTGAATGACTGAATGTCATGGATGATGAGATGAAATCTCTTCATGATAATAACACCTAGGAACTGATCAAGAAACCGGCTGGAGCCAGGTTAGTCAGATCAAAATGGATTTTCAAAATTAAGGAAGGAATCGAAGGAGTGAGGTTAAAGAGATACAAGGAAAGATTGGTTGATAGAGGGTTCACTCAGAAGAAGGTATTGACTTCAATGATGTGTTCTCTCCTGTTGTGAAGCACATATCCATTCGAATATTGCTTGCCACAGTGGCACAATACTACCTTGAACTAGAAAAAATGGATGTGAAGACTGCATTCTTGTATGATGATTTATATTAAACAATCATGATGAGGCAACCTGAAGGGTATGTCGAAAAAGGGAAGGAAGATTATGTGTGCAAGCTGAATATATCCTTTTATGTACTGAAACAATATCCTCGGCAGTGGAATAGGAGATTTGACAAGTTCATGGCACACATAAGATTCATCAGAAGTCAGCTCAACCACTGTGTTTACTTCAAATTTCGTCCGGGTAATTCATTTGTTATTTTGTTGCTCTATGTGGATGATATTATAATAGCAAGCAACAATGTCGAAGATGTAAGGAGGACGAAGGCTGAACTTAATAAGCAGTTCTACATGAAGGATTTGGGAGTTGCGTCCAGGATTCTTGGGATTGTCATCCAAAGAGATAGAAAGCAGTCGAAATTATGCTTATCTCAAGAGGCATACCTACAGAAGGTTCTCGAAAAGTTTGGTATGTCGAATTCAAAGCCTGTTGTGACTCTAACAAACCCTCAATTCAAGTTGAGTATAGATCAGTGTCTCATCACTGATGTTGAAAGAACTTATATGAATAGCATTTCATATGCTAATACAGTGGGTTCTTTGATGTATGTTATGGTCTGTACTAGACCCGACATAGCATATGAAGTAAGTCTTGTAAGCAGGTACATAGTGAATCCTGGAAAGGCTTACTGGCAAGCATTGAAGTAGATTCTAAGGTACATAAATGGGTCTCTAAATAGAGTCATAATTTATGGTGGATCCTTGGGTGAAGATAGTAAAACAACAATTAAAGGATATGTCGACTCTGATTATGCACGTTGTATGGATTCCAGAAAATCTATTTCTGGATATGTGTTCACTATGTTTGGGACAACAATTAGTGGGAAAGCAACACTTCAGAAGGTCATTGCTTTATCAACCACTGAAGCGGAATATATTTCCCAAACTGAAGTTGTGAAGGAAGCATTGTGGCTTGAAGGTTTTGCAAAGGAGCTAAAACTTCAAGGTCGAGTTATCACTGTTAAATGTGATAGTCAAAGTGAAATACACCTGTCAAAGAATCCAGCCTATCATGAGCGAACCAAACACATTGATGTGAGGTTGCATTTCGTCAGAGGGGTAATCGAGCATGGAGAAGTCCAAGTGCTGAAGGTTTCGACAGATCATAATGTTGCTGATATGATCACCAAGACGTTGCCCAGTTGCAAGTTTTTCCACTATATGCAGTTGATAAAGCTGCATGAAAAAAAGCTAGTTTCTTGATGTTATAGAGTTAGATCCAAGGTGGAGATTTGTGAGATATTAGATCGAACTCTAGTATGGTCAAATGGTAGCTTTTGGTTCGATAGGAATTAAGCATGAAGTCGAAGTCTATTCGCATGCTGCTGTCGAAGATAATGTGTGTTGTAGTCGAAGTTTTTTTAACATGCATTAGTCAATATTGCTAGGTTTGTTAGCATAGTGGATTGGGCCTTACTTGTAAGCCCAAGTGTTTAATACCTACATCATGTTAAAAACATGATTAACAGTTAGTGATGTTTTTAACACTTATACATAGATATGAAAATATGATTAACAGTCAGTGGTTGGACATAGATAAATATCATATATCCTTACAATCTATATGGTGGAGGGGATCTCATGAACATTGGCAAAATTCTCAAATGCAAAAGATTAGAGGGAACTGGTTTGAAACATATTGTTAAATTTAAAATTGGAAATGGTGCGTCAAATCCATTCTAGAAAGGAATTTGGATTGGAACATCACCCTTAGAAGTTACTGTCCTCATTCTTTACTCTCATGCAACAAACAAATTAGCTAAGATATGTGACTATGGCTCTTGGACTCATGGTGTATGGCATTGGCAACTTAGGGAAACAAGATCATCCATGTTGCCAGATTCTGTACCTGAACTACATGATTTGAAAATGATTTTAGCTGACATTAGCTCAAATTATGTTGGATAAAGACCAACTCATATGGGTAGTTGTTGCGCATCATGCATATTCTGTTAAAAACTGTTATAACAGTATGAAAATATACGAGGTTCAACAAGATCATCAAAATCAACCAAAGACTATCTGGAGGAAGATTTGGAAGATGAAGGTGCCCTTAAAAGTTAAAGCTTTATGCTAGAAATTGCTCTACAACAGGCTGCCTACTAGAGAGCTGTTGTTTAGAAGAAATATCATTTTTGATCCTACTTTGACTAAGTGTGCATTTTTCAAGAGAAGAGCTTGAGTCAATTGATCATTTGTTATTCAATTGTCCAATTTATTCATTGGTTTAGAAGCATGTTTGGAAATGGATAGGCTTGAGTACACCATTGGAGATATACTGTATAATGAACTTCAATTTGGTTTTGAAGGCTTTGTGGACGATAATTAAGGGACGATAATTTGTGTTTATGAAATAAGCGAAATTTGTGTTTATGAGCATAAGCATTGTGGACGATAATTTGTGTTTATGAAATAAGCGAAATGATGTGATTTTTTCGTCTCTTGGCTTTGACTTGGTCTTTTCAAAAAATCATATTCATGTAGTTTTTATGAATGGTGCATTGCACCACTTGATTTCATCACGTAAAAGTTATAATTTTGGTTGGATTTGAGGTGTTTCATCACCTCTTTTGTTGGTTTTTTCTCTTATGTAATTGTTTGGAATATATATTATACTCTTATGAATAAAATATTTGTTTATAAAAAAAATCATGATTGAATACATAATACATACTAATTTCACTTTTTAATAATTTATATTACCTTGTGCAAGAAAATTTTGATTTATTAACATATACGGTGCATGGTACTCTATATGAAAAACAATGTCAAAATACCAAAACAAAAAAATAAAAATATTATAGACTATTTTCTTATTCCATTAGAAAATTTATTTGAATCCATCCCATGCATTAGAGATAACCTACATATAATTAGAGTCATTTTCATTCTACTTAACATTCTTTTCCTTTTAAGATCATTATTTATTATTATCATATTTTTGTAAAAGTTACATGATTATACATTTCAATTTTGAGGTCTTACGAATTGAAAACCATCAGATATAGCATTTTTTGGATTTGTCTTTTTATATTTTTATACGCAAGTTTAAACTCGGCAGAGGTTGTGTAGTAAACATGAAGAAAGAAATAACTTTTTGCTGCCATATAAACAACAAACACAAACACTGGAAATAGCCCTTGGTGATTAGCGTCTACCATGATTTCTAGTTTTATGCATTCGAATTTTGAATATTTAAGAGATCAACATGTTGATGATATCATCCTAAGGTATTATTGGAGACTAGAGAGAAACATATTTGTTGGTACAAAAGAAGCACATATTTAGGGTTTTATGTGCACGATAATTGGAGTCTTGACATTGTGAGTGCCATCTGACCAAACAAGTGAGGAGGAAAGCAAAGTTTGACGTGATCCTAGTTTTCCAACAGCTGTGACGAAAAATGACTGTGTCTCTTGTAATGATTTGAATGACAGAAGATTTGGCTCCACCGTAATCTTGACATTTGGAATTGGAGTGACAGTAGCCTTGTAGGTTGAATTAGGAGAGCCAACATTTGTAACTTTTTTAGGAAACTTGATATTGAAAGGTGTCTCAGGCGCAACAGAAATCACTATTGCAGGATAGTTTAGATCTTTTATCAAAGTTAGGTTAGAAGCACCACGGCAACTTGAGTTGTCTCCAGTAATCTGTTTAATTTTTGCATTATCGTAACCATAATTACAAAGCAATTGCACATAATCGTCCTTTGTGATGTTATAAATAAGTCCCGGGTCCACCGCTAATGCTGGATTTGCATTTCCTGATCCATAAGAAAACTCACCAGCCAAGTCATTATAAGTACCATTCACTGGTTTTGCTGTGGTCATGATGGCAGATTTGATAGCTGCAGGCGACCAATCTGGATGAAATGATTTCACATAGGCAGCAATTCCAGTAATGTGGGGACATGCCATGGAGGTTCCAGATTCTATGTTGTACTTGACCTTTCTGGTGTCGCCGGAATTCCCGGAGGGTGGGACTAGAGGTGAATATGCAGCCAAGATATCCACTCCGGGGGCACTTATATCCGGTTTCAAAATATGTGGAATAAATGAGTTTGGGCCACGAGAAGAGAAAGAAGCAACTCTAGGAGCAGTTGTGTCATGGAAGATATCACTCTTCAAAATTTCAGCTACAGGGGATTTAGTGGAATTTATGTAAGATTGAACAAGAACATAGTCTTTTGAATCAAGGGTAACCGAAGGCATTTGAGTTACAAAAGAAACGTCATTTACGTCAGCACTTGAGACTATACCAAATGCACCACTTAGAAAAGCCGATTCTTCAAACGCCGGTGAATCACACACAACAATCTTTCCTTTGACCACTGTTTGGCCAAAGCCATTCGTGCAAGAACCCTTGGCTATTGAAATTTTAGTGCCATTTGAAGTGAAAGTATTTACCGACCTACCAACGAGAGTCTTCCCATTTCCAAGAACGAGCTTATCAATGAATTGACGATCTATGCTTGTAGCAGCAACACTAAATAACCAAGGTGCTACACTTGAAGTAGAACTTGGCCCAGGCCCAGAGTTTCCTGCGGAATGCGATACCAGTACTCCTTTCTCCACGGCATGAAAAGAAGCAATAGCAATAGGATCCTTAAGAAAGTCAAGAGGAGTATCGCTCCCAAGTGAGATTGTGATGATGTCAACACCATCCGCAATGGCATCGTCAAATGCAGCTAAGATATTACTACCCGTGCATGCACCATCTGCGCCACATAATTTGTACACAGCAATCCTTGAAGATGGGACTCCACCTCTTGCAGTGCCTTTTGCAAGACCAAAAAAGCTCACGCCTTGCACCTCTCTTCCACCTGCAGTGGATGCTGTGTGAGTTCCATGACCAGCGTCGTCTCTTGCACTATCCGTGTTGCCATAAAATCGCGCTCCGATAAGTTTTTTATTGCAAGTGAAGTTAGAACCACCTTTACAAACTCCCTTCCACTTTTTTGGAATGGGACCAACACCTAATCAATCATACAAATGCAATGGCTTTAATAAATAACTTTGCCAAATATTCTAAGATACAAATGATTAACACCATTTGCAAATAAGAGAATGTAAAATTGGTTAAGAGTTTAATCTCCATTCAAAAACATACTATGTACAATGAGATTTTAATTAAGTATAATGATCACAAGTTGTTCTATGTAGTTATTATAAATCATTTTAAAAATAAAATATTCTAATCTGACCTTTGTCGTTGAAACTTTCGGACTCCGGCCATATTCCGCTGTCTATGACTCCAATTATTAAATCACTCTCAATAATTTGATCCCTTTTGATTGATGGAGGAAATCCAAGAAAATCCCACGATCTTGTAGTTTGAATGTGGAAATTAGTGCTTGGAAAAACTGAGACCACGTCTTCCATGGCGACAAGCTTTTCCCGTTGTTGCTCATTGAGTATGGCGGCAAAACCATTGAAACTTCTCTTGTAACTTTGAACCAGTGAATTTTCTACGCCGCTATCACCTATCACTTGTTCTAACATGCTCACATGATGAGAGGTTGCAGAATAGGACGCTTCCTTAGGAAGTGACCCCATATATACAATATAAACTTTACTGCTTTCATTACCATTTTCAGTGCCACAACACGTAAAAACCATAGAGATAATCAACAATAAAACAACATTATATTTTACCATTGTTTGCATTTTTGAAAATCTCAATGTTTATCTAAACCCCAAACAATGCAACTATATAAACACATAAAAGACCAAATTAAATAATATATTCAATCTTCAATATAAGTTATTATAGTTATAAATAGAAAAATAAATAGGGTAGATACACTTTTTTATTTAAAGTTGTTCATTTATAGAACAAATACATTTGAATAATTGATATATTTAACCAAAATTTGACCAAATATATAAATTATTCAATCAATTTAATTTTTTTATACAACAATAATATAAGATAATATATTCTAAATGCAAGATTATGATTTAGATTCATTGAAATTGAGATGTATTTGATCTATTTATAGATCAAATACATTGTTAATTTATTAAATCCAAAATAACATTTTTTTAATTTATAATTATAAAAATAGTATCTTATAATTGTAAAAATGACACACACACATATATATATATATATATATATATATATATATATATATATATATATATATATATATATATATATATATATATATATATATATATATATATATATATATATATATATATATATATATATATATATATAAAAGTAGAAGTATTAAAAAATTTATTCGATGAATAATCTATATATCTAATCTAAATATAAATTCAATACGTTAGTTTTTTAATAAGTTAAAATTATAAACTTTTATTTGTAATAATAATTAAATGGTATATATATATATATATATATATATATATATATATATATATATATATATATATATATATATATATATATATATATATATATATATATATATATATATATATATATATATATATATATATATATATATATATATATATATATATATATATATATATGTGTGTGTGTGTGTCATTTTTATGTGATTACAATTAAAATGTATATGTTTATAATTAAAACTGTGTTTGGATCACGTGAGCAACGCATATCACTTCCATATCACATTCATGATTGATTCATACATTAGATTAACCCTTTTTCCATGCATTCAACTAATTTTTCAAATGTAAGTGACCATAGTTTTTCATCTCTATTATCACGCATCCTCATAATATTGTATTGATCGCTACTCGTGCTAATAATCAACACAATAAAATCAAAGATACTAGTGAATATCAATTTACAAGACTATGTCAAAAATTTTCTCATTAATAGACTAAGATTTGAAAAAGTTTTGTCAAGACGCACAAATAAGAAATCAAAGACAATATCAATATTGAATCAAAACTAGTTCACAATACATAGATTAGATGAAATACATAAGGTATCAATAGACTACATCCAAACCCATAAGAGATCAAAACACTCACTCGAAGATCAAGCTACGAGTTGCTTCAATTTGTGATTTTCCCTCTTAGGATTGTGTTTCTTTCTCTAGAATATGCTTGGAATGAAGAGAGATAAAGTTCTATTATGAAAAATACAAGTTATTAAAAGTTATGTTTCTAAAAATTGAGAAAAATACATATATAGTAAAACAAAAATTTGTCATGTTCGCCTAGCGAACACCTTCTTCGTCCAGCGAAGACCACTTTTAGGCACTTCAAATGTCTCAGGAACAGTTAAAACGCCATTGGAAAATATCTGAGTTCGTAGTGCAAACATTTCTTCGCACACCAAATTTCTTTGCTACTATCATCCAAGGTTTCCTCTTCAATAGGACCTCGCTGCAACTTCGTACAGCGAACATTCGCTGGTAGCTCGCTGGTGTTCGCACAGTGCACATGTTGATTCTTCTTCCTTTCTTTGACTTTCTTGTCCAATCCTTTGTGTCTTAATCATTGATGTTTTATGTCTATATTCTGAACAATAACATCCACATCAAAACATCCAAAGGTATTTGTAATATGTTTGAAGAATAATACAAGAACAAGAAATAAATCAATTAAAACATGAGAATTGAGTTAAAAAATAGCAAAAAAGATGGTTCAATTAAATCAAAATTTGCAATTAATAATAATACATGTCTTAGTAGGCTTCATGCGGGGGTCATCGTTTCTAAATAACATAAAGAATTGAGATTAAAATATTCAATTAATAAATATGTGTATTTTTTTATTATTTAATTAAACATGATATAAATGATAAAAGTGACACACGTATCTTAATCATTTATTTTTAAATCTAGGAGCTAATAATCATTTCTACCATTTTTACATAAAAGGTATTTATAATATGTCAGATAAGCAAAATAATAATATGTATATATTATACGTAAACGAGAAAACTATCCTTTTAAAAAAATATGTTTAATTTAATAAAAAAAATTAAAATTAGTATCCATATTTTATTAAATTTAGATTTTTTTATATTATATAAAGTTATAAAATTTTTGACAAAATATTTACTAAAATTTATCTATTAATATTTTTAATTGAATATCAAATTAATTTATATTTATATTTTATTGAATTTAATTGTTATTTAAAATTGTATTTTATAAAATAAATTTAAAAATAATTTTTTTATTTTATCTTATCTAATTCATATTTAAAATAATAACTAAATTTCAAGATTAATTTATCAGTAAACTGTTGGATTGAGATATGACTGATAAATATATTGTGAAGTTAGCATAGGAAGATGAATGAGAAGTTGAAATGGTGTGCATGAATGACACGTGTGTGGAGGTATGTTGAGAGTGACGCGGATGAATGGGTGAAAGTAATAAAAAAGGTTGTGTGTCTGTAAGTCTTAACTTTTCTTGTATTGTACTGCTAAGTCGTGTTTGGGTCAAATCTTGTTGTTTACACTTTGATTCATAAAATAAAATGTACCGCTTTTATTTTGTGAATTCAGTGAATTCTGTTATTTACGATTAAAAAAAGATTAACTTTGATTCGATTGGGTTCCGTTTGAGTTGATGTAAAAGAAAACCTAGGCAGTGATCATGTATAATCCCAACAACAACAACAACAACTTCTCTCCGGTGAGAGCCGCTTCTCCTCAGATTAGACCTTCAGACATGGACAGGTTGGTATATCTTCTTCTATCTTCTACCATCAATCCAATCCCACCCTTTCTTCATCATCTCTTTTCTTTGATTTCAGTCAGTATCTTTCGGACTTGCTTGCCGAGTATCAGAAGCTTGGACCCTTCATCAAAGTTCTTCCCAACTCCAGTCGTCTCTTGAATCAAGGTTACTTCTTCCAGATCCATACTTTCTCCCCTTTCATTTCATTTCTATACTATTCATCTGCATTCTCTCTACTTCCTCTAAATCTCTCGTTACAACTATTTGCTCCACAACCTATTTTCATTACATTTTCTCCAGGACCTACAATTTCACACCTCGCTCTCTAAAATGCCATCAATTCTGACCATTAAGCTGTCGTGTAAAGGCTTGCACACATGCTTTTAACCGTCATGTTGTGATTCTCATTGCCGTGTGAATTAATCACAATTTTTTCTTTTTCACAAAAACAGTGACTAACGACCTTCCGATACCGTTTTGTCCCAAATGTCTTTGCGGTAACAGGCCGTATTACCTTATTGCTTGCAGATGTAGTTACTGAGTTGATGTTGTGGACCAAATTGTGGCTGTGATCCTTGTTTAAAAAACCTTTTTCAGAATATCTTGGCGTTCAGTTCTTATGTGGGGCAGTGATATATTCTACATCTTGCATACAGATACTTAAGCCTTGTATAGCTTGAATTGTAACATCTGTTCATTTTGGACATCACCGCCTGATGTTTCTGTTAGGATTTGTTTGAGAGAAGACGAATATAGAGAGAAAATGTTCACCCTATTTGAGACTCTTTTTGTAGAGAATGACAAATGAATGTTTATGATTGATATATTTTTAATTTTCTGACTATTATAACAACATGGAAAGGTTTTGAAGAATTTTTTTAAACCCTCCAAAATCTTCATCCAATACATTTTTGGTATTTTGAAGAATGTTTTTAAATCCTCCGAAATCTTCATCCAATCCAATACATTTTTGAGTTCCTCCGTAGTAGGGGGGAACTTGGTATTATGAAGGAAAACAAAATTTCCCATTCAAGTTGGAGGACTATTGTTCTTTTTTCACAAAGCCATCCTCTCCATTCCTCTGCTAAACTCCCAAGCAAAGCCATAGAGATATAAAACCATTTAAGAGACTTCACAAAATGGCTATAAGCTTTTAGGAAAGAAGGTCTATGGAAAGTTCATTGCAAATGTTGTCCTAAGGTCAATAATATATGATCTGATCCAGTTCCATATCATAATATATGCTCATTTTTTATATTTATTATTTTCAATAATACATACATGTTTCTCATTACTCTAGTTTTCTGCTTGCAGAAATTCTAAGAGTTTCTAGAATCTTGTCCAATCAAGGTTTTGGCGACTTAGACAGACTGCGGCACAGAAGCCCTAGTCCTATGGCTTCTTCAAACCTCATGTCCAACGTCACTGGGACAGGGATGGGTGGATGGAATAGTTTTCAGCAGGAGGTGACTTCTACTCAATTATCTGTCTTTACATCTCAACTTTATATCCCCAACTTAAGCTTTGTCATTGTTTTAGTATCATATGTTCATGTGTTCAAATTTTGATTGTGCCACTTTATGTAGTTAATGACTAGTAAGTGATTGCTATGTATGCTATAACTAGACAATGTTAAGAGGATATGTTTTCTTAAGAGATTACAGTTCATAAGATTCTAATATTTGGAAATCTGAGAAAGGAAAATTTTCAAGAAGTTGAAGAGTCCCGAACAAAATAGAAACTGCTAGTGGGCTGAGGAAAGGACTGTAATTGCAAAGATGGGGAAATTCTGATTGTCAGGAAAGAAAACCACATGACAAGCAGAGTGTCTAGTTTGAGAATTCTAGTTCTTTTTTTTTTTTTTTATAATAAAAAAATTTCTTTTTCATCTTATTCTTTTTCTACCTTACCTGATCTTTTATACATCCAAGATAACATTACTTTATTTTGCAAAGCAGGGATTATGTGGAGCTCCTGGACTGGCAATGGACTGGCAAGGTGCGCCTGCAAGTCCTAACTCATACACTGTTAAAAGGATTTTGCGCTTGGAAATTCCAGTTGATACATACCCCAATGTAAGCTCATATGTCAATTCTAGTACAATAATGGAAAATTATTTACTTGATCAAACCACTGTCTGTTATCTTTCTTAAAACGTAAGGTTCGATTAACTAGAAATAATGTAAATATATTGCTATTTACTGCATCAGTTCAATTTTGTTGGAAGACTTTTGGGACCTAGAGGAAATTCTCTGAAACGGGTAGAAGCTACTACAGGTTGTAGGGTGTTTATTAGAGGACAGGGATCCATAAAGGATCCAGACAAGGTAGTGATATTACTTCCCAGGTTTATTATATGATGTTTTCTTTATTGATCTGGTTATGTATATTTTTTTGTTTGACAACTGAGATTGATGTTTTGTTTCAATCTTAGGAAGAAAAATTGAAAGGAAGACCAGGATATGAGCATCTCAACGAGCCACTCCACATATTGATAGAGGCTGATTTACCTGCTAATATTATTGACATGAGGCTTAGGCAGGCTCAGGAAATTATAGAAGAATTGCTAAAACCTGTGGTAAGTTTCTTCACTCCGAGTATTCATCTTCTCTCTGCTTTAGACTGTTTGAGGTGGCTACTAATCTACTTCACTTTGTTTTAAGACTGGTATTAAGATACTGATAGAGGAATGTGTAAACATATTTAAAAGCTTTAAAATCCCTAAGGAAATGTGAAGAGAAAAATGTTTAATGGTTTCGAGGTTGCGTATAAGCCTTCTGGTCACCACTTTGCCAAATCATGCAATTTTTCATACGGGTTGTGAGGTTGCTTAAATGATTGTATTGACATGATAGTAAAATCATGTGAAACAAAATAAAATAACACGAGAAGGAATCAATATAATCAAGAACGAAGAAATAGTATCATAACAGATCAAATCTAGACAGAATTTCTATCTCAACTTTGGGCTGGCAAACTGGATGAACTTCTAAAATCTATTGGATGGCAGGAGATGCAGTTGCAGTGAAAGTGGTTAGAGGAGAAGAATAGGTGATTGTTTTGCTGCGTAATGGAAGCCCGACGGCAGTTGTTCTTGTGAAGTACGATGAGATATGCGGAAGAGAGGGGTTTAGTGATTGTTTTTATACGGGTAGCATGTTCTATTATTATTGGAAAACAATACTAATAGTCTGTAATGACACTTTAGCTAAGCTTTGTTCTCATCAAGGTTTTCCAATTTCCCATGTTGGTGAATTTTCTGTTATAATCATCTTAAGCTAGCACATCAAATCCTTAGTAAATTTAAACATTTTTGTGCAATCTAAATAATTTTGTTGAGCTGTCTTGTATGCATAACAATATCTTCCCTGACAGAACCATGTTATTGTTGAAATCAAGAACACCGAGATTTGAATACCGTAATCATAGTTGTGGAAAGTCTTATATATTATTAACTTTGGGTGGGATGTGAACTTGCAGGATGAGTCAGAGGACTTCATCAAGAGGCAGCAGCTGCGGGAATTGGCATTGCTGAATTCAAATTTTAGAGAAGAGAGTCCTGGGCCAAGCGGAAGTGTATCTCCGTTTAATTCTAGTGGAACAAGTGGAATGAAGCGAGCAAAAACTGGTAGATGAAAGGTTGTGTTAGATGGGTATTTAGTTTTGCAGGCAAGGAATGCAGCTATGAAAGAATAGGGTAACAATTATTGGTGGCTAGCATTTATGTTGTTAAACAAGAGGAAGCAACGATAAAATAATAATGAATAGGGTTGTTGCGATGTATTGGATTTATTCTTGTGGAATATACAAAAATGATGGATGAAGTTTTAGGTCTAAATGGACCAAGTTTTGTTGGCATCTGACTTGTCAAGAGTCTCCTGAGTGGGTCATTAAAGTAAAGATTTACAAGATTAGAAGCTGTTTGTATTTCCTTCCTAATAGAGTATAATGCAGTGCAGTTGTATGAATGAATGTCATTTGTGTGACATTTGTTGCAGTTGTATGAATGAATGTCATTTGTGTGACATTTGTTGCAGTTGGAACTATGGATGAATGTGATGCATTTTCTGGAAATAGATAGTACTTATTGTTTTTATATATTGATCACGGAATTAGTAGGAATAGAAGCGCACCAAACATTACTAAATAAGGGTGTGGTAACAAGTCTTACTACAAAATTTCATTTTGAGTCGATAGGTTGTTAGCAATTAGCATGCGGTCAGATTAGTTAACTTGGAGTATATCTAGTACTAGATTGGGGTGGTGGATGATCACAAAAAATTCCAAAATACTTTTGGTAGCCTCTGAAGCTTGAAAATCAGACACAGGTTATTTTACCACAAAAATTACTATAACAGAGAGACAATCCGTTTTTCCAAAAAGAAAGTCTGTGTTTTAGTTTTTAGATATACTATTAAAATTTGAATTTCAATTTGAAGTTTGCCATGTCTTTTATTATCCTTCTCAATCTTTTATTTCATGAAGAAAACAAATGATATAATAAGTTAACATTCTAATTGTAAATGTAACTAAATGATTTCGGTGAATATAAATGATATAACTTAACATTTTAATTGTAAATGTAACTAAATGATTTCTGTTAAATATAACATACGTGGGAGGTGCTAATCTCTTTCCATTACGTAATCGACTGTCAAACCTGAATTTGGTTGCGACGATTATTTTCTTTTTCTTTTAAAAGTTTTATCAATATTTTCTCTTTTCTTTTTTGAAGTAAATAAAGTTCGGTGCTGACACTGTTTAATCACTCACGAGTGTGCGATGTGTTCATAGGTCATATTTTTTGCGATGCAACATTCCTCATCTACCTCCTAAATTACAACGTATGTCGTGCCTCAGTTAAAATTGATTGTAGAGTGACTTTAGGAGTACCTTCTTGAAACTTGCCTTTAGTTATGATATTTATCCCAATAGCAACAATACAATGACATATCAATAGTACATCCACGACATGGTGCTCCATTTCTTGTTTCTCCTCTAGTATCTCCTGGTGGTGGGATCTCCTTTTACATCGGGTATCATGTAAGAAAGAAACACTTTATAAAACCATTGGATTAACCGTATACTGTACTCTATAGATGAGGAGCTGACACACTACGTACATTCTTAGAAAAAAGATGCACATCGTAATCCGCAAAATATCATTAACATCTTTGTGGAGAACGATGGCAAGAGAAAAATATATATGAAATTCATAGGTATACCTACAAATACAAATACTCTATCTTCTACAGTACTCATTTAGATAGATGTGGATATATGGATACATAATTTGAGAGTCATAAGCTAACCATCTAGAGTATCATAGTATCATCTCCAAAGGTCATTTTTTACGATGCTCATTGTACGACGTGAAACAAATGTCATTCAACACGATACAATCAAGTGCAGTTCACAACGACTCAATCACCTGATTCCATCTGAATGGAAAAATGAGGGTAGACACATGAAAATTTCTCAGAGTAGTCTTCATCATATTCCCAGTAAAAAAGACGCGTAAAATGCTAGTAGATCCATGTCTAAAAATTGTTTAAATGATATATCAATAATATAACACATGTATTATGAAACTAATATCAAAGGTGAAAAAATTACATTAAATAAACAATTATTTTCTATTTATTGTCTCGTCTTCCATTAACTACCTTCAACTAACTTGGAATAGAGGTACACGAAATAAGATATCCCCCAATTGTACTTATGAATCTCCTCCAAGTAAATGAAGTATCTAATGTAGACAATGTTAACATAAGTCGCACTTACGGCTAGAAAATTGGTCGTGCCAACCAAAACTATGAAATATGGCATTAATGCACATATTCTACGATATACAACATGTGCATCATCACCCATAACATCCACAACCGCATTCAGGTGGTTAACATAACTTTTCACGAGGAAAGAAAATCTAGCATGACATCCTTGTTGACGACACACACTTATAGAGGTCATAATCGATTTGGCCATTAGGGTTAATCGATAATGAGGCGCGAAATTTGAATTTCAAACAACCTCTAATCGATTATACCTATATGGTAATCAATTATGTAGTATGTTTTCAGTCTCGTTACTCTTTTTGGGTCTTAACATTCATTCGAACTTAGTCATTTTCTTTTAACATTACAATGTTTGCCTATATATTTCATTTTTTGCATGACAATATTTCTAAAAGAAAATTTAACTTACACCAAAAATATGTTAATGATAAAATAACATTCACTAAGCATGAAAAATACAACTTGCTGGAGAATTTCATCATAGTTTTTCGATTGACTTTCTGCCAAGTGTTTTACCGATAAAATATCAAGATATCTTGAAAAGAACCCCCCCCCCCCCCCTCACCACCACCAAATGAGGGCACAACAAACCACAGTCAATTTTTCATTTCTAGGGGTCGCTTGATACGAGAGTTAGATAGAAAATCCTTATGATTGACATAAACATCAAATATCCTGATACTCCGCAAACATTAGAACCATAATGAATGTTGAACACTACCATCAACGCCAACGAGAATTCATTTGAACAAAATTTAATAGGATCATGAAACACTGCTATATGTCATATTTCTCTTTGTATACTTAGAGTATACATATACTTTGCACAATTTTATTAAATTTTTATTTAGTTCCTTCAAAGTTGCAAAGCATTCTTATAGAATAAATTAGTTTTTCACATTTGATATCCAAATATTATTAGGTCCTGCTGCATTAGTGGTTTAAAGAGGTTTAATGTTATTTCCTTTAGATTATCTTAGATCTTTTAACATAAAATAACTATATGGCTTCAAATGGCCGAGCTTATTACAAAAACTTCACTTAAAGGTAGGACGGTTGAATTTCCTCCTAGGATGAAATATATTCCTAAATGTTCTATTGAGTTTATAACTTAAGTCATTTTTATTATATGAAACTCTTTAATTATGCAAAATTAAATCAAGTTTATCTTTTCGCGTAGTAAATTTTTGTAAGATTTCATATAAGTTGGTTACTTCAATGTTCAGAGATTCACGTGTTTCATTTTTTGTTTAATTTTAAGTACTCAGTTCTAATGTTAACAATTTCTTCACCAAAAATTTTATTGCCATTTTCTAATAGTTCAATAGTAGGCCATGGCAAGAAGAAAAAAAATTCACAAAACCAAAATATCAATGTACTAATCAAACAATTAATATTATGAATTTTTAAAATAAAATATTCTAAATTATCAACGGGGCAGGTTTGGAGACGGATTCGGGGTAGGTATTAGTGTACCTATTACCTGCCCCATATCAATCTTTTAAAATCGAAAAAAATCCAAAACCATACCTGATCTAACCTGGTGGATTAGAACGTGGCCGACAATATTTCTGCAACACTAACAGTCAATAAGAACGGAGGAGGGGTTGTACCTGCAAATACTCCGATGCCAAAGTCAGTCAGGTGAAGAGGTAGCAAGAGTAGAGAATAGGATAAAATTGAATAGTAGACCCTCCTGCAGAGGAGGGTATTTATAGAGAGTCCCCAACGTTGGGCCAATGGTCTCCATTATGAGCTGAGTGATCAGGCTCATAACGGATGACTGTCAGGATTCCTACGTGGAGGTAGGGATGAGCAGCTCGTGATCATCATCCTGCGTCAACTGCTCTGCATCCTCCGGATAGTAGGATAGTGGACGAACTTGCCCGTTATGTAGGACAGACTGGTTCCACGAGATGTGTCGACAAAGTTGACGACGTGTCCTTGGGTGAGGAGCACATGGGAAAATTTTCTCTACTGCCTCCAAGAGATTGAGCCAGCATTATGGGTCGTCCTCGACGCATGGCTGGATTGAGTTTTGCTCGACGTTGGGTCAGTTACAGGCCTAGCCCAGAACAGGAGCCCCTAATTCGTTGTCCCCAGACATGAGGTCAATGACCTAGTGTCAGTTCGTATGTCGAGGAGGAATAAGGGTTTATACACTAGGAGAGCCTTTACGGGCACGAGGTTCTGCTCGTGACTCGTTGAGTTTCGCTCCCGGGGAAACGTTATACAGGGTTCATTGTCAAGGTCTTAACCAGCGATCGTGTTGAGCGTTAGATTTCTGCTCGCGATTTGCCAAGCTACTAGTGAATTTGCTGCAAAATATCGTCGAGGTTGTGCTCGCAAATGTTTGCGAAGATTCCACCGAGGTTGTGCCCGACACCTCGGAGTCTGGCGGATTGATGGGACTTGAAGAGACAAACGCGCTCGCCTCGGGCCACATGATGAGACTTGAAGAGGCAGACGCCCCGTCTCCTCGAGCCATGTGTTAGAATTATTAAATGCCTATGATGACCTACAAGTAGGGGTACTCGAGAGCCTAGGCAACAACACGTTTATCCATGTCAATGATTATAAATAGGGAGAAGTGAGGCTCATTTGTTCATTTCGCTCTCACTTTCCTCTTAACTTTCTTTCTGTCTTCGGAGTCTTCTCCTCGTCCTCGCCGTTGTCACCATCTTTCTTCGAATCAACTTTAACCACTCTTCCAGTCAAGTAAACATCCTTCCTTTAATCTTCGATTTATATGCTAGTTTTAGAACGTATGTTGCATGTTGGTTCCGAAGGGTGTTGGTGTTTTATGGCGGTTTGGCCATTTCCAAACACCGGCGGTAAAAGAGTATTGTTCTTAAAAATATTAGGCTTCGAACAGAAACTCGCTTCAGCGCTGCCATTAATGGTTTAGGCGAGTACACTTTAGCACCGCTGTTAATGGTTTAGACGAGTACCCGCAGGTTTGGGTTGTATTGCCATATCTACATACATGCATAATTAAAATAGATTTCATTCCATTCCTCTGATAAAAACAAAAGTTTATATGTGGAAGAAATTCTCGAATACAATCCTCATCTTACAAATAGGTTTGAGTTAGACTCTCCCATAAAATAATTCAAAACTAATAAAAGACATATACTTAATTAAGCTGCATCAAAACAATTATGAAACCTTTACGATTGATACTTTATTAAGCTGCATCAAAACAATTTTCAATTTAAGGGACTAAATGGTTGCTTCACAAATTTGAGAGACATGATTGACCAACGTTTACAATTTCAAGGCTTAAATGCCTATTTACTCAATTACTAAGTGCAATTTCTTAACTGCATCTACCAGACCCAAATTTTAACCCTTCTTTAGACTCTTCTTCCCTACTTCACTTCTCACTCGGCATTTATTAACCTTATCTTACTTAACCCATGTTCGTCCACAAGATCATTTATTAACCTTATCTTACTTAACCCATGTTCGTCCACCAACCCTTAACCTATTTTCACATATTCCTTCCACACAACTTATCATAAATTTAGACCAACATGATCACTTCAAAACCTCCTTATATTACACAAAACAGTAACCTGACATAAAACCAATATTGAGTTTGAAAATTTAAATTTTATATGGGACATGTATAGGGAAGATACAAGCTCGACATGCATATAGAAAGATCTAAACTGACATATGTTGTTACTACAGACAGTCTTACCACCTGTGCAGAGTAACGAGGAACCAAAAAAAGCAAGGAGGAGGTTCACACTTCCTAGTGTGTGCAAAGAATTGCTTAAAATAAGCAGTCACTATCATTAGACAACATAAACCAATTGAAGATACAGTATTGTAGCGGGTTCAAATTATTAAGAGGCCCAAAAACTTGACCAGTATTACCAATTGCAGATGAGGTCCTAAACAAATTTAAGCCATAGACTTTTTCTTCTCTTCCTCAAGGCGCTTCAATTCAACCAGTCTTACTGCCCACTCTCTTTCCCTTTCAACAGCAGCCATTTTACGCTCTACCTTCTTAATGTTTTTCCTCCGCTTAGCCTCTTGCATCTGAGCTTTCCTTTTCTTCTTTTCCTCCTACATATAAAAGATTTTGCAAAGAACATAAAAGTATTAGGTGAGAGACCATCATCATTATTATTTTTTTTCAAAAGGCCTTTTGGCAGATATAAACCAAAGTTCAAATTCTTCTATACGGGAATTTTGGACTAATACCACAGAAACTTTTAATTATAAAAATAAAAATAAAAATAGTATGTATTTGGTTAGATTGTAAAAGAAATTTACTCCGGTTTCCCTAACACATAGCTAAAATAACAAACAGCAGCGGACAGATGAATGGTCATAACCAATTCCATTTAGCTTTAGACAATTGCAAAGTTGTACGAAATAAACCATCTTGCTATATAATTGACACATGACAGTCAATTATTTGCAACAAGATGCCAGGATATTGACTACATACTGATATGGTACTTTAAACATATGTTTAGGTCAATTCCCTCACAAAGTAAGAGAATTGCATTTAAAGCTTGGACTGTCTGTATTGGCCATGAAAACAAGCAAACAGTCCTGTAAGGATGCTTCCAATCATAACAATTTATTATTGATTACTATGTAATCCATATTACTTGCAGCTTTCATGCCAATATATGGACTAGTGTAGTCCTTATCTATTGTTCATAACTATTTTCTTCTAGTTTTGCTAGAAGTTTAGTGCTAATAACATTAAAGCAAACACAAGGCATACTTCCTGTTATGAAAGAGCATGTAGATAGCTAGAATAGCTTATGTTTAAAATATTATTAATAATCTAAAAAGAAAAGTGAAAATGCTAAACAAGTGGAAGATAATACTACACAGGAACTGTCACTGTTAACTAAAAAACTAGTCCAGATAACACCCTTGTTCCAATCTCATGCATGTTATCATTTATACTCATTAAAAGGTGATATGTTTCCTAGTGGAGAATACTCATAAAGTTGTAAGTTGAAACATATTTTCTTATATTCATTAGGACTCAAACATGTAATGCTTTAGCTAATCAAAGGGTCTTGTTGAACAAAAAAAAACAAGATAACACTTGGAACATAAGATGTAATTAGGTCAGAGTTACTATTCATTTTGAAACTGTCATGCATTTCTCATGCAATCTCCTCTCCTGTCGAATTTCTTATGTTTTTACAAACATAAAATAAGCTATTTCATTTAACCACCAACGGAAAAGACACTTGGTATTCAAAAGCATTCCAAGATTCATTGTGTATGTAATATAAGTAAAGGGAGAGGTTACCAGTATAAAGGCACGGCGCTGCCTCATGCGTTTCTTCTCATTCCTCCTCTTGACACTCCCTTCATTAGGCTTATTGGGAAGTATGGTTTCACCCGTTGTGTGCTCAACCCAAGCATAAGGCCCTGAGCAATATCAGAAATTAAATAGTGTGAGACAAAATTGTATAAAAATAAGAGCACGAAGAGTAAAAAAAAGAACAACAGACGCACCAGAGGGTCTCAAGGTAGCCCGCTTTCGACGAGGCTTATCGGAAGGTCGTCTCTTGGGAAAACGAGTGTCAGTCAAGGCGTGAAAGTGGTTGATAAAAGGAAGAAGGAATTGGGGTGGTTTGGTGTAAGATGGGAAAGGTGCATGAAATGGAAGTGTGGTGGAGATTTGTGAAGTTAGAGTCGTTGAGGAGGAGAGTGAGAGAGGGCGTAAAATGTTCCTGAGAGCTGCTCCTCCGAATCTCATTTCTCTGGCGAACCTATGCGAATTTGAATTAAAATCATGATTGGATTATTAACCCTAATAAAGTGAAAATCAGAAATTAGAGTAACAAACAATCTAACATAACTAGATTTATACATTCACGTAATAATCCATATTTGATACTTATGCAGGGTGTCTATAGTGCTACACAAGAGGGAAGGAAAATCCAAAAACAAAAGTAAAAACCTGGACGAATTTCTTCTAGCCGGCAACTATTCTGGTAGCGGTTCACGAGCAACTCCGGCAACTATTCTGGTAGCGGTTCACGAGCAACTCCGGCAACGATTCCGGGCGGTAGAGTATTACAGCGGCTCCAACTTGTTTTCAGGGCAAAGTGGAAGAGACTGCACTCTGATGATGGGCCTCTTCATTACAAAGTGTTTGGGTTTAGATATTTCTATTCGGTATTCCCATAAGACAACAACTACCCCTAAATATTTTGTTTTTTTTTACAAAATTGTTTTAACATTTTTTTTATCCTTAACCAAATAAAAATATCAATGTCTCTTTCTTGACGCTATCAGGCCACTTTAAATAACCTTTGGAAATGGAAGGGTGGCATTTCCATCGAAGGCTTTCTAAATGGCTCAACAAAGGAAATATGCTAAAATTTTAGACAATAGAATATATTAGAAAAATTAGTAGGTTTATCATTGGGGTTAAGTGTAAAACTTGAGAAAACAAGTAAATTACCCGACCTTACCCGACCTCATTCCAATAAGTTGCAAATAAATTTAGGTTAGATAGCGATAGACTTTATTTAATTTGAATTTGACATTTAAAAAAAATTTAAAGTTTTAAGTTTGACTTATGGTCTATTATATATTTATTTTTTAACATGAGTATGATCTTTTCGAATATCTGATTAGTCTATTTAAAAATTTATATCATTTTAACATATGTAAATAAGCAATTCAATTAATCTTTAAATATGATATAAATTCAAAAGTATAATAAGACTAAATATTTGTTTGCATCGATTTATTTGAACTTACATAATAGAATAAATTTTGTAAAATTATTTGTTTATGAAAAATTATGAAAGCAACTTATAATATTATTTATAAAGTTTTTCAACTTATTTTCATAAATTTTTAGTAACTAAACTTTTTTACATTTTATAATAATACAAAATACAATATAAAAATAATAATATTATTTATATTTATTAAAATAAGTTGGTTCGATAACATAAAAGATTTTTTTATGGCCTTTGGACAAACTTATTTAATTAAATAAATTTATAAAAAAATTTATATTTTTTTTACTAAAAAAAACTAAACCTAACCTTAGACTGTGTAGATTAGACAGTAGGTGAATGTTAATTGATTTACCTCATTCTCACCCCTTTTTGCAAAGTCTCAAATTGGAATCGCTGACAAGTCAATGACTCAATGATGGTGTTTGTGTGAGGTTTCTTCCTCACACCCCCATTTATACTTAAGACCTCCATAATTTTTAATAATTATAATTTTATGTTTCACATTATTTACCTTTTAAATTTTCACTTTCAATAAAAAATTCTTTCTCTGTAAAAATCGAAAAAAGACTAAAGTTTCGGTAGTTATTTTCAAAAATTCAGTATAATATATTTTTTTTTACACTGCTTTTTATTGCTATTCACACCAATATTTTTTATTTTCTTTTTGATTTTTGTTTTATTTTTCTGTTTACAATTTAAATCAAATAAAATAACTCCAATACTCTAAAAATTTACCAAAAATACTTTTTTATAAATTTTGAGATGTCTAATATTTTTTGGATATTTTTATTTTATTTTTTAGTTTTATTTTCAATTTAAAAAAGAATTAAATATTGGAGTTGTTTTAATTGAATTGAATTGTGACTTTGTTTACTCTTGCATTTATTTCTCTTCTTCCTTTTTGATCCAATGATTGAAAATTGATCCTCATCTCAATGATGAGTTGATCAATTTTTGAGGACCATTTTGCCCCTGGTTGTTGACTTTTGGGTTGACTTTTGTGGCTTTTCTTTTTGCCTTTGTTTCTCCCATTTCAAAGTGGTACATTTAAATGAATCTTTTCTTTTGATGGTGCTTTGAGGGAATATTTGTCTTGATCTTTTGGCCTCTGATTGCCAACATGTTTAGTTTCTTTGTGTATTTTATTTGGTATTTTTTGAGCCTTTTTCCTATTTTTGAGGTGACTTGCAAGATAGGTCATTTCATAGGACAGCTCACACAAGTGCATGACCTAGTTTGAATTGAAAATGACCTTTGTGGATCCAATAAGTTCTCAACTGTTCTTGTTTCACATTTTAGACATGTTGAACTTGTTGTATGTTCATTTTTAGGTCAAAATTATGTTCATTGCTTGTTGATTGATGCCTTTCTTTTTGAGCTTTCTACTTGAACTCCTAAGTGGTGTGTGCTTGCTTCCTTTGTGCTCTTGCTTGCATTTCTTCTTGATTTGTTTTGATATTGCTTTTGAGCTTTCTTCTCTTCATCTCCCTTCTGTCCAATGACCTTGGAGTGTCATTTAAGGTAGCTTGGTTCCTCCTTAGGAGGAACTTGAAGCTTACCTAAAGTGATGAATCCATGATGACTGTTTCTTTATGTTTGTCATTTGTTCATTTGCATATGCATTTTCTTCTCCTTCTTCTCTTTTCTTGCATGTCCATATGCATGCTTGGTTGAGAGAGCTTGTGGTGGCTACTGCCCCACACTATTTTCCTCCCACTATCATTCTACTTGTGCATTCTATGTGTGCATCCTTTCATTTGCATATGCATTCTTCTTCTTCTTCTTCTTCTGCTTTCCTTTGCCATGCTCCCCATAAGTTCTCTAACCTCTTGAGGTTATGATAGACATTAGGGTTCTACATATGCATGATAACATTAGGTAGTTCCCCTTTTCAAACTCAACTTTAGGTCCACTTTGCATGATAACTTTTAGGATTGATTAGTCTCCCGTTAGTGTGCCTTCTTCTCTTCTCATCTTCAAACAATCTTAACATACTTAATAAGGATAATGAATGTTGTGCCGTGAGCCTTATACTTGGGAAATGGTGATTGAGGGGCCACCTCTCAATTGCATAGAGTGTTTAGTATACATCCTTAGGACGATATGCAACGCATTCGATCCTAGGTTTTAGACTTTGGTACAACATACATTATAAACACTCTAATTCAAAACACTGTTTCTCTAAAAAACACAAAAACACTTCAAACCTTTTTCATCCTTCGGGATCTCAATCAAGAAAACCTTTTCAGATAAAAGAGTGTCGTTAACTCTTAGTTCTATCGCAAACTGTAATGCCTAAGTCTCCAATGGTCGAGCTGCATACACCAACTGCTAGAACTATCTGTTAACCCTACTCGGGCCTAAAAACTTTTGAACCAACCTGTGGTCCTCTTAAAATAAAATCTGGCAATCACGTGGAACACGGTCAACTACGGTGCATCATAGAATTCAATCTAGCACGCATGATTAAATGGTAATCACATCAGAGGGTTGTGGAATTTCCAACGCATTAATGAGGATTTAAAAGTAATTACATGGTGCATGGTCAAAGCAAGACTACTATGAGTCTTAATCAGAGGCGTTGTAGTGAAAAGTAATCACATCGTGTGAACTACACAGTGCCACATAATCGTCTTCTTCAATGAAACATGGAGGGAAATGGAGTTGGTCGGACTGCAACTCCGGTCATCCCTTCCAAACATCCGTCCACCGCAGATGCAACAACAACACACAGCCAAGCCTAAACTCAACCGTTTTGGACGAATCTTATATCAAAATTCATCTAGAGATCACGAGGATCTCAAATCCAGCCTCAAAAATCAATAATCATGCAGCATGAGAGCAAACCGAAGCAATTAAGTTTGTGCATCAAAATCCAAAGTTCACCAAAACTCAATCAATTTGGTTTAAACATCATCTAGAGGTTATGTAGATTACAGATCCACCAACAATCAAGCAAAAACACGCAAGAATAAGCCAATCCAAGTCCAAACAGTTTGGAGCACATAAACTCAATCATCACAAATGCCAGTTCGTTTTAGTTATTAACGATCTACATGTTTCCTAGGTCTCAAATATGCAAAAATGACAATGAATCATGGCATATTGAGAGTGTAAGGTTGATTTGTAATTACCTAGTGGATAACTTCCACTGAGCCTTCAATTGGTGCTTAAGCTTGCAGATAAATGTCCAGAATTGTTCAGTGATCTTCAATAGAGCTTTTGCAATTCACAATTTGGCTTGAAACTTGCTAATTCTCCAAATTCGAATTTTGAATTTTCACCACTTTTTCAAAGTTGTTCTTGAGCAATTTGCCTCCAATTTTCAGTTCTGATGATTTGTTCATGATCAAAATCTTACATGTGATGGATCTTGATAGAAATAAAGCCCAATTGAAAAATCCATGGAATTGATTTTGGAGCTCTCTTATGTGCATGAAAATCCCTCTCATTTGGCTCCAAATTGGCTCAAAATGCTTGCTGGTAACACATGGAGTGTGAATGACTGAGATTTGGCCCTTGATTTCAATCAATGGTTGATGTTTGTTGTGTAACTTCATAATGAAGTAACCTTGGAAATGGCTCACCAAAACACATCAAACTCAAATTCTAAAATTGCCAATGTGTTTAAAACATGATTTGCACTCAAAATATGTACCTATTTGCACAAAAATGATCAAGAATGAATTAATTCCAATTTTTCCCTTTTAAGCTTTATTCCATGAAAATTCACACATCAATTCCTCAAACCAAGTCAAATCCACGACTCCTTAATGCTTGGTTAAACAAATAACACCATTTGGAGCAAGTTTTATGTTGGAAAAATCTTCATTTGAAGTGTGCAAGTTGGTGAAATGGACCTATAACTTTATGACCTATAATCTCACTTTCCCAAAATACCCCTGACTTGTAACCCTCATAACTTGAGTTCTACCAATCAGATGAAAGACTTCTAGTACTCTTTGGAAAGTTAAGACCAAGACCTACAACTTTCATGTTG